GTATTAAAACGTGACTTATTTTACACAATGATTGATGTTCAACTCCAAAAGGGTACTTCCAACTGAAAATTTTCCTATTTCAAGAATTAAAGAACACCAAATCCTTCTTACACATGTCTCTCCTCCTTCAACAAAATTAGGTCTGTGCCAAGTTAGTTATTTAATCAGATACAGACTTGTGTATTTGCTTGAAAGTCAAGTGCCAACAGGTGTTAGAGCGAGGCAATGTGAATATTGATGAATATTGAATATTGATGTCATTCCGCCGCACTGTGGTATAGAGAACTGCCCGTATCGTTTCAAGACGACGTGTACTGGCTGTCGGGTATCTGTTTAGTATCTATATGACCTTTACCACTACCACATTACTATTATGCTCATTCCTTCCGTTCCTTCTTTCCTCATGTTATCTTGCAGATACTTCGTTTCGTCGGCTCATCTTTACACTTCAAACAAATGCACCCTCTGGAATTCAACCCCGCCTATCATACGTCATGCAACAACTTCTTTCAACCAGCTTTTCCTCATCACATCTTATTACTATTAGTATGATTTAAATTACATATAGTTTTATTTTTAGTGCTACTCAAAATATTTTATATCTGTGGTAACTGCGTCTAATTTGTTCAGTGAAACTTTATGAATTTTTCGAGAATCACCAGAAAGCTAATTTTTCTCTCTTTCTTCGTGTCTAGTGGATTAAGTTATGCGGTAATTACAGAGATAAATATTACATAGTAAATTCCAAACTTTCAATTGCGTTTTTCCGAAAATATGACTTTTGCACTTAACACACTATGCACAATTACCACAGATATTACTTTTAATATTTTCTAGGTTTTATTTACATATGGATTTTTGTTGATTTATTTTTGTTTCCATGTTTTTTTTTTATAAATTTTATTTTTTATTATTTTTGTTTTCGTATTAATGAATCGTAATCATGACACCACTGAACATAATCATGGCATTTCTAAGACGGATTGTGGAAAAATATTCAATAATATTTTCAGCAATATACTTAAATGCAACAGAGAATCCAGCGTTGCCATTACAAACGTCATCAAAATGAGGTCAAATAAGTTAGAAGATGTAGGATTGAGAGTTTAGGTTTAGGATTTAGGATACAGAGTGAATAACATTAGAACCAGAAAACTGAAGGGGGATCAACAACTCATTAGTCAGTAATGGTTTAGGGGATCACTTCAAAGCCAAAGAACGATCTCCTTGTATTGTATGAAAAGAAGCCTTACTGCACGGAGGTACATATTCGACATAATGGAGGATTACAACGTGTCATTCATTCCTAACAGTGTAGGTAATGATTTCATCCGTGAACGAAAACGCTCGGCTGCATATTGTAAATTTGGTTACTGACTATCTTAACTCGGAGTCAACACGGATCGGCCTGCTGCTCCGATCTCAAACTCATCGAAAACTTATATGAGGCGGAATAGGGAGATTTGAATGAAGGTCTTAATTTAAAATCTTCCTATGGATCTCTAATAACTCAGAACCACACTAGCGAGAAGGCTAGATAATCAAGGGTTATAACTTAATTAGCAATATGCCAAGAGGTATACAGGCAGTATCACATGGTATTAACATATTAGTTGTCTTCATTATAAAACGATTTAATAAAGAAAAATGTCAAAAGAATATTTTATATTATTATTTTTCACAAATGTATATTCTAATTTAATAATTTGATATATCAAATATAATAACTCATGATATATCAAATATAACATCTATGGTCACTTGACATTTTTTCCCTTCCTTGGCAAAATACACTGCGGCCATGAAGGCCTATTTTACGCATTTGATAATTATAAATCAAATAATAAAATATGAAGCAGTAAATGGATGCCATTTATAATTGCCACTTGGCAATTATAATTACTATTATAAACAAGTTTTCTAAAAGTTATTTAGTTTTTTAATTGTTGTAGTATACAAGTATTGCTTATTTTCCAATTATCGCTCATCGAGTAAAAATTTTGTTTGGGACATAAAAAAAATCAAGTTCTTTGCACAAGAGAGGAAAAAACAACAAAATACTAGTTGCGCCAGTTGTTTGGTGGTAAGTACGTAGGTTATTTATGTATGTTTACATCGATAAAAAATAAATTATTTACGATGGTTATGTGGGAGATGGCGTCCAGCAACAGACGTCAACTTTGCAAATTCATAACTGATTTTCTGAATGTTGCCTCTTCCATCCATAGGATTTTGTCAATACCTCAACAAACTATTATTAATAAGCTTCAAAACCTGTCAACTTATTGTCTAAAAACTATTTAAAAAACAGTGATTATTAAAAAATATTGTTAAGTGACTATTTTTTTAATTTAACAACTCACCTCTTTTTTAGACTAAAAGTTTTTAAGATAGGGAACTGTTAGCATTTGTATCAGTCGCTAGCTTATTTTGTAGTCAGTTTGCCTTGCATTTGGTACTCTTATTTTGTACTACTATGGTGATAAATTTACGGTTACCACGTGGAATCATTGAAGTTGGTAGAAGTTCGATTTTCCGACGATCCATGGGAAAACCTCCGTGTGCTTAAGACATCTTGGGAAAAAAATCACGATTCCTGGTCCAAGTTACAAGAGGTAAGAACATCACTCCTACGATTGATAGGGATTATGATTTTTGTGGCACTCGCACCGAGGCTGACAAACGCTATGGGACTGGAAAGGTGTAAACGTAGAAAATATCGCTCATTGGCCTTTCCTGGCGGCAATAGAGGATCCAGAATTTATTTTTTGGGGGGAGAGGCTTCAGCCTCATTTTTTCATATACATTTAACAATAATCAATTAGAAAAAAAAATAAAGAAATTAACAACCTATATGAAATGGTGTTTAAGTGGTTCTTCGAGAACCACTTAAGTGTTTAAGTGGTTCTCGAAGTCCTTAATTAATTAAATGTAATTACACGAACAAGACTACTTTAAGAGATATTTTTAAATATTTTTTTCTGTAAAACATGCTAAAGATTTTACCATTATGGGGGGGGGGCTTCAACCCGAAAGCCCTCCCCCCGTAGATCTGTGCCTGTGCCTGGTGGTTGATCACCTATCAAATTACTACCAACCCTACCCTTGGTAAAGATATATAAACATGATAATAAATATTTATATTAAATATAAATTTAAATAAGATATATAAAAAGTAAATAACAATAAAACTAGTAAAAATTAAATATTGTAAAGAATGAATAAAAGTAAATTTTAGTTTAATTTGTTAAATTTTTATTTGTACACATGTTAAAAGAAATTCTCTGTTTATCTATTTAAACATATAATTTTTTCCCATCCTATGATAACATAATAATTGTAATTTTATGTTTCTAAGCAATCCAAAACTAATCTATATTTTTCTTTGTCAGTGCGGAGGTCAACAGCCTTTTTCAGTTTTGCATGAGAAATTGGTCTTTTATAATCGGCCTGAAATCAGAATCTTGTTTTAGTTTACATGTAGCAAAAACACTTATATACACTGATAGAGTGAGCCTTTTAAGCGCCGTAATACAAATTGAACGATTCAAAGCAAATATGTTCTATTGAATTTAATTTTTTGACATTCATTGTGTAGTTTGATTTCAATAGATGTTTTCTACACTGTCTGCTGTGCACTGTAACGGCCGTCAGGCTGAATACATTATAAATGATCAATAGGGCAATAACTCCTAACCAAAAACAATAGATTCTTGGAACTGCCTAGAGAAATACTAAGAACCAACAGCATGGACGCACGCAGGGTAAGGCAGGGCTAAATAATTTGAAATAAAATATAATATAATACAGAAGGTTTGCCGAAAATCCAAGTAAATCCTAATAATTATAAAATATTGTTGTTTTATGTATGTATTATTTTTTATACTAAAATATTTATTTGTAATAACAATAAACTACTTTATACTATTATAGAGTTTGAAAAAATTTACCTACCTGAGATTTTGCTTTATTCAGTCTTGCCCTCACTCCCTAAAATGAAAGCTACGTTCACCCTTGGCCTACAGCGTTCTAATATATATGTGTATGGCTAATTTTCTGCCAAACCTTAATAAACTAAAAATTCATATATTTGCCAGTGTAATAGATAATACCAAAGCATCGATTAATATGCATTATTTATTATAATAAAAACTATTATCGTTGTAAATTATATTTAATATGTTCGAAAAAACTACACTTTTATATCCTTCCATTAAATTTTTATCTGCATAATTATTTTAAAAGAGAAACTGGCCAACTAAGGTATTAAATCAGTAAAATGCACAAACTGTATTCAAAAATATACATGCTTGTCTAGTTTTTTTTTTTTAAGTCAATTTTATAGTTGTTCGGATTTTCAGATTTCATTTCATTTCAGATTACATTTAAATAAACATTAAAAAATAGAAAAAAAAAGATTATTCTATACATTAAAAAAAAATCTAATTGAGGGATGATAAAGCTCGGAATAAACACTATTTTTTCACATATTTTATTTTCAAAAACAATTCACTTTTAGCTATTAAGCATTTATAAATTTACTATTTATTTCATTTCAACATAAATATTAACAAAACATCTTTTTATTTCAGCAAGTAATAATCATCTTAAATCGCCGGCACAGAAGAAAGGAAGGGCCGAGGTACTTTCTACCCTCCAATATTTAATGAAGGGTATTAGAGTGTCTCTTGTTTTCTAATATTTCATTGTTATTTTGTTATTGTTGTTTGTTATTTTGTTATTATATTTATTTGTTAACTCACAAAAAAGTGTATAAACGATATGAATAATAATTATATTACACTACAGATAATAAACTGATGACTGTTCTACTTCACTATTTTAAGTATGGCGTTCTAGAACTTAAATATTTAACAAGGCCTTCTACTAAATAAACTGAATAAATATTAAGTGAAAAAACAAATAAATATTTAACTACTAATAAAAGTAGATTATATTTACCCCTAAAAATATGTATGACATATAATCCAGATATAACTTCAAGAAACACAATCACAAATTCACTGAACTTGGTTGTATCTTGATTAGCCAGAGATCCAATAACTTTCTTCTATCATGGAAAGATGACATGAAATCTTTTACCTTTCAAGAAACTTTTCATAAACCAGAAAAGTCGAAAGTAACAGTTCTTTTAACCCCCAAGTGGTCAATCAAATTCTAAAACATTTAAGGGTAATAATAATCTGGATAGTAGTAGGAGTCATAAAGGTAGGGATATTTATATCGTACGTCATCGATAGACATGCTAAGATCTTCGTAAAGCTTTCTCCGTTCTCTATCGTACAAGTATCGTCTGTAGTCATCTTTTTCTCGATTGTAAAGGTACTTCCAATGCGAGTAATCAAAGTTGTATATGCTGTCATTGTATTTGGTGGAAAGGTAGGAGTTCCTGTAGAGGTCCTTGAGTCTCCACCTGTAGAGTAGAGGATCGGTGATGTATGACCTCGGGTAGAGCGAGCGGTACTTGTTGTAATCGAGGAACCATTTGTCGAACTTATCGTCTAACTTCTTCTCTTCCAAGCTCCGGCCGTAGTAGACCATTGTTGGCTACTGGAAGAACACTCCCTCTCAGCAGGTATCGATTTTGCAAAGCCAGAGACGTCTCCACCGACCATGCTGAAGTCCGCAACCTTGAGCTACACCACGCCCCCAACGATAAAGGTGGAAATCGATGATTCAAACTGGGCCTTCCGCAACTGGGTTAAGCATACATCACTAACCTAAATTATCAGAGATGCACGAGAGTAGTTTAGAAACCAGTTGAAGGTAATCTATAAAGAGTTCGTGATAACCGTGCTCCTACAGTTGTGTATCAGAAACTTCTTTTAAAACGCGATTATCATATATCATAAAGAATAAAAAAAATGCACAACTCCTTGAAATATCTCCCTCATTTACTGCTTTTCAGATCAATTTATATAGCAAATGATAAACGGTTCACTCACCAGTGAAAAATATATTTACTTAGATAGGTTCAATAGAACAGAAATGGTCATAGCGAGGGGGCGGGAGGGGGGGGGAGGGTAATCCGTGGTACTTATTTATGTTAATACAGTTTGAAATCAGTCCTGCTCACTTCTGTCTAGGACCCCTTTGAAGATACTAGCAGTAGATATAAATAATTTTTCGTCCTGAATTTAACAAGTTTTATCCAAAAACAATAATTTAATGATTTGCGAGGAGCAGATTTTTTTTATTTAAAAATCCCAATAATTAGCTTAAGATGCCTTTTTATTAACAATTAACGGTTGTAAGTTATTTTTTGCTCAAATTCCTAAATCAATAGAGTTCTTACATTTTTTTTTTGTCTTTTCCCTTTACAATTTTTCCCATCAGGATCAGTAAAAATGAGTGCCATTCTCTCTCAAATTGATGTTTCCAAAACTGTAGATGCTCACACAAATCAACTTATATTAGGACAGTTGTTTTATATTTATCTTTTAAATTAAGTATAATTGTTGATTGCAATTTCAAAGGAAAATCAATTACATTTTTAACCACTTACCATACCTTTTCTCCCCAGTACTTGGGGAGGGAAATGGTGGTAAGGCATTTTCTATCCTCTCAATGTTTTTTGAAGAGTGGCCAGCCTCTCAATATTTCACAGCCATTTACTTAAAATAACTCACAAAAAGTGTGGGTAATAATTATACTACAGGTAGCTGATTATTGAGCAACTCCTCTCTTCCCATGCACTGAACACTGTTATCCGGTAACACTTCCTTTCAGTGACAGCCCTAGGGCACCTGCCATTTCTTGGGAGTAAAAATACAAAGTGTATTTTGTAATTATACGAGAATAATTAATTTTAGCTTGTTAATAAAGGGAAGATTCTGTCAAAATATGGTATTTACTGCTGGATCAAAGACGAATTATAAGAAGGATATAAGGAGCTGTAAAGATTGATGGAAAGTGGTGGGTCAAGAGCAATACAGAAATTGCAGCCATACTGAAAAACCAAGATATAGTTAATTACATAAAAACAGGTGGGCTGCGATGAGTAGGTCATGTTGCCTGAATGAAAGAAAAGTGGGTTAAAAAAAGTGCTAGACATGGCAATCATTGAGAAAAAGAGGCAGAACAAGGAGCCGCTGGAAGGATGAGGTGGTTGTATGCTTTAAAGTTAGATGTCATGAATCAGAGGAGTGCTGCCAAGGTCCGTAGGGGATGGAAGGATATAGTCCGGAAGACCTAGGGTCATATAGACCTGTGCAGTCAGGAAGTAAGCAAGTATTAATTTTAACAAAACTGTTCATAATCAATAAAACGTTGTATCCGGACTGATGTAGTTGGGTGGATAAGTCACTGAAACCAGATCTGACTACTACTGTTTTTAAGTTGTATAGCCATGGATTGACTTAAGATCAAAAGATCCTTCTGAGCCACACATCCAATTTCTATGAAGTGAATGCCTGATCCTTCAATGATTAGGAGAACCAGTTGATTGTGATCTTGGCCAGATTATTTATTTCTTATCAAATACTGTACACCAAGAATATCCTTTATAGATGGTAGTAGTTCTGGTTTCAATAAATGTCATGAATAATATTATACTATTGCCGATTGAATCATAAAAAAAATTATTAGAAAGTACAATGAATAAGTTTTATCTTACCAAAGCATAAAAATCTCATGAATATATTAGTTTAATATTAAAAAAGAAAGATCATTTTCTGAAAGCGCAACATAAAAAGTTTAAGAAATGATTAAAAAGCTAGAATAAAAAAAATAATATGTAGACAAATTAATTTACAATATTTAATATTTATAATATAAAATAACATTTGGCTTAACATGAAATTTGCAATCCGCAAATTGGTTTGCTATTTGCAAATTTAGTAGACAGCTTTGACACCGTCGTCCCATCAATGAATACAAATTAGCTTAGCAGGTCTCTTGGCCACTGTATCTGTAGTCATTGTGATGGATTGTAAGAGTTCTTGAGATACATTTAAGATTTTTTGTGCGTGAGTTGATGTTGAAATAATAATTCATGTTGGAAATTAAACATTATATTTAATGATTTCCAAGTGGTTGAAGCCTTTAATTTAAAAAAAAAAGTTTAATGAAACCAATATATAGGATAGAAAAATGGAGTTCTGCTAAAACTTTCACCATCTCCAAATTCAGTCCTTTAGTCAAAAGTATTATGAAGTAGAAAGTATAAGTTATGGAAGTAGAAATAGCTATCGAAAGGCTCAAAACAAGAAAGGCTCCAGGGATAGACAATCTACCATCAGAACTGTTTAAAGATGGAGGAGACGACTTAAGAGCCAAGCTACTACAACTAATCCAGAAAATATGGGAAGAGGAAAGGATACCTGAGGCTTGGAATACTGGCTTAATCTGTCCTATCCTAAAGAAAGGCTCCATGTATGAGTGTAGTAATTACAGAGGCATAGCACTCCTTCGGTTGCCTACAAGATAATGACCAATATCCTACTAAACCGGATATATCCGTATTACGAGAATATAATAGGCAACCACCAAGCTGGATTCAGAAAAGGAGGAGCACGCTAGACCAGATCTTCATCCTAAAACAATGTGAAGTAGCTCAGGACGTCCACGCCCTATTTGTCAATTTCAAAGCAGCCTATGATTCTGTGGACAGGAGCTGTCTTTGGAAAATCATGACTGAACTGGGAATTCCCGGTAAGTTGGTGAGATTGACAAAGGCGTGTACAAATGACCCAAATGTAGAGTCCTAATACAAGGAGAAGTATCTGAAGCCTTCAAAGTTCGAACTGGCTTACGGCAGGGAGATGGACTATCACTGATGTTGTTCAACTTAGCCCTGGAGAAGGTAATAAGAGCAACATCACAGGAAAATGGAGGGGTCCACGTCGGAATGAATCATAAAATCCTTGGATATGCAGATGATATAGCTGTCCTTGGAAGTAATCAAGAAGATATTGAGAAACTCGCTACAACACTGATAAGAGAGGCAGGGCAGATCGGCCAACAAGTAAATAAAGACAAAACAAAATATATGACAATAAGCCAAAAACTCCACCAAAGATAGAGCAGGGTTGTTAAGGCGGAAAAAGATCTCTATCGCCAACAGAAAAAAAAATAAATAAATAAATAAAAGAAAAAAAAATGATAACATATTAAAAGGAAATAATAAATTATAACATAATTAAAAGAAATCAAACCACATATCTTAAGAAATTCATTTGTTTCAAATGTAATAAGAATTTAATGAAATATACCTCACTTCATAGACCAAACCAAAATTGGATTAGTTGAAATTAATATAGTGTCTTTCCTAAAGTACACATTGCCTAGGCCTGCTAATCAGGCTTTTGAATGGGATATTTTTATTATTATTTTTAGGTTGGAATCAGATTTTTTTTTTATTTGAATCATAGTTCCTAACATTATTTTCGACATTGGAAATTCAACAATGAAGTTATAAGTTTATCATTGAAAAATTTATTGCTGGCAAATTTCTTGGCTACTATATTAGTGTTACTTATCATTATTATACTTTAGAATTAAATATTTCTAAATGGTTATAAAATATTAAGAAAGCAATACTGTTTATGAGAGTTTCTCCCCAATACCATTTCTCAAAAATAAATAAGTTTTTGTTATTTTAATGCTGAGAGAAAGAAGCAGTTACAATTCTACTCACAATATATAAAACAAAAAATAATAGAATAAATTCTAAAACATTTGAAGTGACATAGAACGGATCAACCAAATTATTGCTCAAATACTTTTTTGTTGCTTACAAACTATTTAAGGCTTCATATAATTTTTTTAATTTATTTTTTTCTCTTCCAGATCTTACAGATATTTTGCCCCTTTAGGCAGCCTTCTCCATCTCTTGCTGTTTTGGGCTATTTCTTTCCAGTTATCTGCATAGAACTCCATTGCATTTTTGTTGATTCGATCTATTCATCTGGTTTTTGGCCTTCCACATGGTTTTTTGCATTCCACTGACGCATTCATTATTCTTTAAAGCCTTCTAGATGGAATGCACTGAGCTACTTAATAATAAAGAAAATAAAAATATTAAATGAGAAGCTATTTATTGGAAAATTTCAAAGTTTTGTTTCTCAATTATCAGTGATTAAACGGTCATTTCTCTAAAATTAGAAAGAAAAATTTAATATCATAAATGCAAACTATATACAATATATTTGAACAAAACTCTATAAAAGTTATACCTAAAAGTTATACCAGATACACATAAGTTCATACAATTAAAACAATTATTTGTTAATTAGCAGGGGGTTTTAAATTGTGTTTATTGTATGAAAAAATCATGATGGTATGTAAATAGTTGACCATAATTATAATTTAAGGAGTAATAATTGGTCATGAGTTCGGTCAATAGAGACATAATATAATTAAAGGAGTGTTTATTTCAATTGTCAATGTTTTGAACTATGTTAAAGATCTTTATTCATCATCATCTTCATTTCATCAACATTTCATCTTCATCCACCAGCTTCCTGACTTCATCCAGCACTGCTATTTAGCATTCATTTGAAAAGCCTAATCAAGCTCTCCTTAGAAAAATTAAAATTATGAATAGATCTCAGTGGAATTTTTTAATAAACTAACACCACCATTAGATATAATCACTCAAGAACAATTAATTTCTGTTCTACTAAAACTGTATAGTTTCTACGTATTTTCTGCTTTACTAAAATAATTTTATTATTATTTATTAATATTTTTATCATACTACTTTATTGTTGGTGCCATAGTAAGAAATTTGTAGAGATGTAGATGATACCAATAGTGTCAATCATTCTTACAGTAATATATAGTGTATACTTTATTTTTAAAGGAATTTTCTTTTTCATTTAGGTAATTATTTAGATGAGACCCACATGGGTTATGCATGGTTCACAATCACTTCGGTCACACTTGTTCATGGAGTGCCAAATGTATCAGGGTTCATCTGATAGGCTGTTTCAGGCGTTTCATGAACAAGTGTGACCAGAATGATTGTGAATCACGCATAACCCGTGCGACCCTCATCTAATTAATTACCTTCATTTGTTTTTGAGTTTATTATTCTTTGTTTTTTATTCACTCTGTGCTGATGGCAAATAAATATTATTCATTTATGAGGTTATTCACCACTAACTATCCTATTATATAACTCTAAGTATCTGCATTTTTCATACAAAGTAGTTTTTCTCTCTTAATTATTTCCAATCTATTTTATAATCAACCAGTCAGTTTACAGAGCAATATAAAATCAGTAAATAGCTCTTTTTGATTCTATAGTGTATTTAATCCTTCCGTATTTTTCTGAAATATGGAACCTAAGATATCTGGTAGATATTGAAGTGGTACAGCTAAAGTTCCTGAACTATTTAAATGGCCAAAGATCACTGCCAACTACATTGTATTTCTCGATACTTGTCAAATTGCCTTGAGCACCAGGGTTATGGAGGTCATAAACTACTGATCCAAACTGTCACTTATGCCTGAAGAGAGGTTACTAAGACTTTGCTTCAAGAGAATAATTTTGCTGAGTACAAAGAATCCTAAAACAAACTGCAATTTAGTCACACAAGTTAGATCAATAGCTGCTCATTATGGCTGTAGAGAAGAATTTGATAAAGTACATTCAACTGGATTATTAAAATACATAGATGAAATATTGGAAAAGTTAAAAATACATAATCTATCTACTGACACCCATCTATCCATAAAATCCAACAAAAATCCTATGTATAGAACTATCTCCAGCTTCAATATTTCCAGTTCAGAGACTTACTTGATTGATAGAGTTGACAGCTAAGATCAGTAAGTCATTAAGAGTTTCAAATTCCAAATTAATTAAGCCTTACACAAAAAAACAAAGTTTTTACTTCAAAAGCCAGGAAACCTGCACTTTCTCTAACCAATTCATTTCTAACAGCCTGTTCTGTATCCTTCTCTACTGTGAAAAGCTAATAGAAGACAGACATAAATATTTACAACAATTTCTCTCACCACCCAGTACACAGTAATGTACACAAAATACAAAACATATTTCAAATTGATAGTATAGAAAAACTTAAATTTACTGGTTTATAATGTCAGCAAATTTATACTCAATTCCTTAACTTGTGATGACCCACACAACAATTAATCTTGCGGTTAAGGATAATTATTGGCCAGTTCAGTTAATTTTTTTATCTTTTTATCATGATTATTTTATTTTTAATATTTCTTATTATGGTTTATTTGATAGTGTATATTTCTTCTCCAAATTAAGATACATATTAATTGAATTATGAAATTTATTGAAGTATTATTATTTTACAATTATAGCTTTTCTAATGATTCAAGTAAATGGACAGTTACAATAAACTAAATTCATGTGGGTGAAATAAAGTTCTTTATGCCTGTATGATTTGTACAGGATTTAAATATAAATATTTAACAAATAAAACTCCATTCTATTCTATTTTACAAAATCAGTATCCTGCTAGCAAAATTCCAGATTATCAGTTTCACTCTCCTCATTTCTGAGTTTTCTATTATTGTCTATTTCATGATGCAGCCAACTTAATTCACTATTTCCAGTTAAAATAACATTTTTCTCTCATTCTTCTAACTATTAATTTATATATATATATATATATATATATATATATGGGGGCTGGGGTAGCCGTACGGAGTAAGGCGCTTGCAATAGATAATCAAAGTTAATCAACATCGAGCGTGGTTAGTATTTGGATGGGTGACCGCCCGATTTGGGTGACCAGCCACCAGGGAAAGCCAAGCTGCCCGAGTCTCTCTTCCTCCCCCCCCAGTTATGTGAGGCCCGTCATCCTACTGGAGGCAACTCACACAGACCAAGCGTAGGACTGATAATCCCACCCCATGTACTTAATCAAGAATCGGGATGTGGTCTACCAGGATGTTAGTAGCCCCCCGAGGTTCGGTCCATGGATGCTCTGTTTCGGGGAAAGAAATATAGGTCCTCGTGCGCCTGCTGAATCCGAGCAGTCATAATCCATGGATCTAGACCGAATTGTCACTGTCCTTGAACCCGAGTGAGTCGGTGGGAAGGACACTGCCAGATTGGTCCCAAAGGGATCGGCTATGGAGCTACGGGTGGCCTGCCGCTGCACCATGGAGACCATGGTTCGTAGCAACTTGAGGTTGGGTGACCCCTCCTGGCTATCTGTGCTCCCGCATGCAGCATACGTCTGTAAGGAGACCACACAGAAATTTGCACACCTCGAACTTCTTCGAGCTGATGAATCGCTTGAACAACGGTAAGGTGCCGGTTTTGTAAACTTCTCAAAGTCAAAAACCGGTCATCCCATGGTTCTGTTAGCCTAGCCCGTCCAGAACCGGGCCTTCTATTGTAAGAACCAGTTTTCCGAAAACGCCTGACTGTGTCTCGTAAAGTTTCATATGGAACTCCGATGGCATTAGCTGCTTATCTAATCTAACGTCCATCATCAATAAATGCCACACCACACGCAACATCCTCAGCACTAAGAGGCATTTTTAAACTTAATATTGAAAAAATTAAAAGCCGGAGACTAAGAAATGTGCTGCAAGAAACGGCACTGCACTAATGATACTGAATAAATATTTTGATTCCATAGAAAGTAAACATTGGAATCTAGAATCATTTCATTGAATTAAGGATTAAGGGTTATTGTCCTCTATATTAACATTCCTAATTGAAAACAAACAAAAAGATTACCTATTTATTCATTAAAAACAATAGACCAATCCAAAGCAGAAATATTTTTATATGAAAACATGAAAAAATCAAGTGGGTGGAATTTTTTGCCTGTCACTGTATATTCTGTATTTTTAACTTGTTCTAAAGGGACACTAGTCTCAGAATAATAAAATTATTTTCATTCATTCATTTTTTCTCTCCTAAACAAACCCCAATCCACTTTCTTTTTGCTCAGGAACAAGTCTTGCAGTTTATTTCTTTCCAAAAGGGACCCTATTCAAATTGTTTTTAGTTACTACTGGAATAATCAGTGATTGTCGGAATTATATTCTACAAATAAAGGATTTTTTAATTTATGTTTAAATATATATTGCTATTGGTACTGTACTACATTGGGAATAGAAAATATATTTTTTTACGTTCCCTAAGAAATTGTTAATAATGATTAGGGTTCACTTAGGAAATAAACGAGTCATACGTTTTTACTCTGATAATGCCTGAATTGACAAAATAATTACAGATTAATTGTTTTACCTGCATTTTAAAGACTCGATGATTTTTGTGCTTGGAATTTTTCAGTTATGTTCTAAGCATTAATTTATGTCTCTTTTGGGGTTATGCTCTTTTATATTGAAATATTATGTAAACATAGATTTTCTGAAATAACAAATAATTTCATGTGACTTTCATTATACTACCAATTTGTAAATAAGATGTGTTCATATTTTTAAAATATTTGCTACTGAACCCAATAAGATATATGGAACATAGTAATAATAGATATTATTAATAAGCAACATATGAAAATGTATTTATAATAATAATACTATTACACATTGTGTAAAATCACTGGAGTAAGTCCACAATTAAAATTCTTCAGCACATCAGATACTTTAACTTTTATTTAACTTGGATGAATCCTGTTATAGGAAAATAATCGTTATTAGGTTGTTAAGGGAATGTGTTGAAATTGATCAAATTACTCATACTTGCCATCAGCGGCAAGAAGTCCTTGATTGGACCTGAAAAAAATCAGGCAAAGAATGGAGGGAATGCACTGAACTTATACAAGCCAAACAATTTATCAAAAGCCCCTCTCCCTCCAAAACTAAGTGGCCGCTGCGCCTAACTAAAAAAGAAATCCGACTCATCATCGAAGTACTAACAGGCCACTGCAGACTTAAAACACATTTAAAGATCTGTGGGATAGCAGATGATGAACTCTGCAATCTTTACAGAAACACACCAGAAACTGCCCTCCACTTCATTACAGAATGTGACCGATTTGCATCACTCAGATACAGACTTCTGGGTGTAGACAGAATACAAGTATGCAAAGCTACCTCCATAAAATGCTCCGACCTTTTGAACTTCATTAGAAGAACAAAAAGGTTTGAGACAGAGTTGGAGGTACGACAACAACCACTGGTAGTATTGTCTTTGGGGTTGGAAAAAAGGACCAATAGGCCCACTTGCTGGACTAAGTCCCCCCACCAGTACCAGTTCCAGTACTATACATGTCATTCATTACTCTTATTTGCCTTTAATCACTCTAATCTTGTTAGTACTAAAGATTAACAGATTAGTGACATTTAAATTTATATTGTTTCTACTATTTTGTAATTTCCCTTAACTGCCATGCCATGGGGACTATCTAATGCCTTCAGGTTATCTATTTGGCTTTAAACTAGTTTATATAACTATAAAAAAAAGTTGGACAATCGATTAATAAGTTGGTTAATTTTAAGAAAAATATGTTATTTTTTTTTACTAATTTTAAGTTCCACCTATTTAAATAATATCTAGTAGACATACTGCATTAGAGATGTTGAAAAAATATTAAAACATTTTTATAAAAGCATCAATATTTAAAAAAAAAATATAAAAACAAAAAAATGTAAAAAATATCTAAAAGGAAAAGGCCTCATTGGTGTATAAATATAAGTTTTTTTAATGCAATTACTGAGAAATATAGATTTAATTAATTTTTATTTTTTATACTTTATTAATTAGTTGCATTTTTCTTCCCTTTTAGGTTTGTAATGAAAATGTTTGTTATTTTTATAGTTTTCAGTCATTATTAAATTCCTTAATGGTTACTTAATTGTTTTTATATGTTGTGCAATTTAGTGCATTTTTCTTTATTTCTTAACAATAAATCTTTTAATATTAAATGATAATAGCTGCCTTTATAGGTTTGTGGATATTTATTCAATATTAATTTTGTTTCATCCCTTTTAATTTTTTTATGTTTATGTTTATAATTAAATTGATTTTTTTTCTAGTTACCAGTGTTAATTTATTTATTTTTTTTTTTTTTATAAAACTCATCAAAAAAATATCAATTTATTAATTTGTTATTACTGTTTTTTGTAATAAGCAGTATATCACTATTGATATTATGTAATATTTAATATTAATATATCAATATAATTTAACTTGTTAATCATGTAATTATAATTTAATATGTTAAATTATATTGATATATTAATAAGTTGATTTTAAATCATTTACGAATCTAATACTCCAATCTAATTTTAATCCTGTTTTCATTTGTTTTTTAATTAAAAATATGAAGCCCAAAATATCAATATTTTTTTACTATTTGCTAAAATATTTGCTAACTATTGATGCTAGCTATATGTAGCAATATTATTAAGCAACCCCTGCTTACTCTTTTCAAAGATAAAATACCAAAATATTGATATAATGAAGTCTTCCAATGTTCCATCACATGAGATTTTACTTTATTTACAGTGAAAGTAATTTTTTATTAATAAATGACATGTTTTATATATTATAATTTTTTGTTTGTTTTTTCTCTCTTCAAATCATAATCCAAAACTTGTCACTAATTTGGCAAAAAGCAAATGAGTTCTGGTAATGAACTTTGAAAAATTATCTTAATTATCTTGTTATGTACTTACTATTCCTTTATCTTGAAATATTTTAAAAGCTTTTGTTTCATTATTGTTATTAGGAGCTATATATAAATCTACTAGATTGATTTACAATTAATAAGGTTTGGTTAGTAACAAATAATTTCTAATGGTTAAATAACGGTTATTAATAATTACTGTTTAAAAAAAATATCCAATATATTGTTTATTAATATCAATATATTGAATTAAAATTTCGATATATTTGGAAAATAGTGTTTATTATTTTTTTTTCTTTAGTTACATTTCTATGGTGCATCAATGAATCTTCACCAAACAATGATAATGAATTGACAAATTAAAATTAAATATATAATTTAACTAAATCAATCATCTATGCCAGTATTTATATAATTAAGTTTATGTATTATAATAGTATTAAGTTATTAATGATGTTTCTAGGGGTACCTAGAAGGAGGTTTCATGACATACTAAGGGACAAGGAGAAAACATGGAACAGACCACAGCAAGCGTAATTCTGTATGATCTATGATTTTTCTTATTCTACCTTCGCTTGTTCTGTATTGAATAAAATATCTTGGGAGTGAGGGGAGAGGAGAGGAGTATGTTCTTGTGCCATCGACCTTGGGAGGGGTGGGCACCTCTGGATATTTCAATATACTTAATTTTGTTGGAGATTGGCTCCAAAATTGTCTTGAAATTATTATTATTTTTTTTATCTACTTGGAAATATAATAATCTGTCACGTGGACAATAATTATAGCGAGATATGAACACATTCACACCACATATACAGAAAACATAGAATTAACAAAAGTAAAATAATAACTAAATAATAATCGAAAACTTTGTACAATAAAAAATAAAATAACCTGAAGATATGTCTTGAAATAGTGATATTTTTGGCAGCGACTTTTTTGTTTATAGAACAACCTGAAATACAAGTAATAAATGTAAAATATTATAGATTTGTTTGTATATATATGTTTAAAAATATAGTACACATTTTTAATTATGAGTATCTACTTATTATTTATTATTGTAAATTACTATAGTCTATAGACCAAACATTAATTTACAGAAAGAAAGAAAAAACGGACAGAATATCAAGAAAGAGATTTTTTGGTTAGAGTGGTATAATCAATTAAAATGAAATCTGTTCTGTAACTAAAATATGAATAAATCAAAATCTAATTTAGTTGAAGACTTTATTTTTAAACCATAGATGAACTAAAAATCACCTATGTAATTTTGATACGTTCTAGTTTACACCTTACCCCAAGATATTACATACAATTTATGAACAAATTTTTGGCTTTTTTTCAATGAGCCATGAAATCCTTTTCACTGAACCCAGTTCGATCTTTTTTTCACAATCTGATTCAACAGATTTATTTAAGTAATCATGAGACATGTGTAATATTCTAATTTGTATGCTTTTGTAAAATAACAGACGTGCAAAGCTGAAATTATGTATTTAAAGTATTGCCTGGTTTATCATAAACCCACTCGAGGTTATCATAAAATTCACATTTGACTTCATCATCACTGTCTTCGGTCGATAATGTACGTTTATTAACGAGATTTTAAACCAACATCCATGAAATATGGCTATCGAAATTCTATCACTAAAACCGGATAGCAGTTTATTCCTAATTAAAAACCCTGAACTTAAACAATGATTTCCGCTTCTTCTGTACCAAATAGTGTAATTCTCTTCCGTTATCGAGCCCTCTACAGCGAACCTCTAGCAGAGCCACGATACCCAAATTGTATCCATCAACCTTGTTCGTGACCCATTTTAACCCACCTGCTGAATTCAAACTCTTTATGTCCCATGTACCATACCCAAATCAGTATTTTCCAACTTGTGCCATGAATCTCCTAAACCAGTCCCCACCCGGAGACCCGTTCGGGAGACTAGTTTACCTCCGGATAAGCTAGATCCATGACTATTTGTGGTAAACTAAAGATATGTGAGTAAGGCGTTCAAGCCTACGTCACATCCTCCAGCAAGTCTGGAGGGCCCTTCTCATTGTTTGTCAGCGAGTCCATCGGACTTAACCGGGAGGAACTTGCAAGGAATTTCCACCGACCCTCTGCCACGTGGGTCGCTACCTTAAGCGGTAATGAAATCCGCGCGAGGAAACTTGAGGTAAATCTCAACTTATTTCATTATAAATCCTAAATCTAGTTATAGACTTACCACTTATTAAACATGTAAGTTTTCTAAAAGTGGAGTATATTTAGTATAGTTGGAGAATGATAAAAAAAAAAAAAAAAAAAAATGAAATGGGACATAATTCATCATTTAAAAAAAAACAAACAGAACTTATGTTAGTTTAGTAGCTCAAACATTCGCTTTGAATGGTTTTACCAATGACAAACTCCACTTTCGTTTGCCTACATGTTGTCTAGTTTACTGCGATGCAATTGATAATTAATTAAATTAAGTATTTTTTAGTTATTACTTCTTATTCAACAAAAAACTTGACACCAAAAAAAAAACAACACAAAACTTAACTTTCGACTTTTCTGCTGAAAATTGAATCATTATTTATATGAACTTTTTTGTACTTCTTGATGTTTACTATCAAACCTCTAAATATTTCTCTCTACTTAGGGGATACCCTGTATTTTAGTTGTCCGCTAAAATGTATGTAAGGATTTTTGTCGTGCTCGGCTGGATGTCTATACCGATTTTTTTTAATTCAATGGCTGAAATTATTAGGTGAAATCTCTAAGTATTTTGAAACAATAAGAGCTCAAAACACGAACAAGTTATAAATTACACGAATACAGAGTGATTTAATTAATCCACTAAAAAGATATGTAACAATTTTTTGAACGCACGGTCGCACACGGGGGCGAGCTAACGCTACGATTGGACATTAGGAGAAAAAACAAAAGTTAAAATTATTAAGTTTGACTGCATTAGTAACAAACTAGCATCAATACCCCGCCATGCCCAGCAATTTATAACTTAATTATCGCCTCAATTATGCCTTGATGTGAGATAATAGAAGAAGATATGAAAACCATCTTTTTCATGTAATTAGAGCTGGTTTGGTTGTATTTTTTATTCGAACCTAACGGTATATGCTGGTTAGAATTAGGTACTTCTAGTGAATCTTAAGACAGTTGAAACATTGATTTTTATAAATAAACATAGTTGTTGCTCCTTTTAAAACAATTGCAAGCAATTTTGGGCTATTTTGCAAGTCGCCCTTGCACTACCTTCGGTTCGAACTACCAAAAACAGTTTTCAGGCTGATAAGTTATTGAAAATTTAATATGCGGAGACGCTGAATTTTGAGTAACTACCATTAATTTTTATTTATTTAATTTTGTTTTACTTGCATTTTCCTGTTACCATTGGCCTAGTTTTTGACTAAATAACATGTAATTGCAAACACTGACCAAATTATAAGCGTATTCTGATCCAGAAGTTCTGCATTGTCACTTTTCTTTTCTGGATTCTGCAGCTTTGTAGTGTCAATCTTCTTGTATGTTTTCAGGCTTTTCTTTTATAGGTCCTAGGATCTGGGTGTCTCCAATCAATAGAAGATGGTCCGAACCAATTTCAGCATTTCTTATTACTTTTACCGCGGTAAAGTATCCCCTTATATTTCTACTATACTCAATGTAATCTATAACGCTATTAAGACTTCTTTCTTCAGCTGAAAACGTTATTTTGTGCACCATCTTATCTGAGAAGAAAGAGTTTCCAATGAGGAGTTCGTAATCGTTACAGAAGTTGAAGCTTAAACCATTTCCGTTTTTGGTGCGTTATTCTCCCCATACAGGCACATAACATCATGGGCATTTGGATGGTTTCCTCGGTCCTTGCGTTGAAATCACCCATTAGGATAATACCTCTGTTACAGTTCTTACTTCTGATGACCTCGAGCTCTAGATGTCGGGGCATAAACTTGTATTAGTGCAATCTTTCCTATTGACAGACCCGTATACACTGTTATAACTCTTGAAGGTATGGGTTGCCAATCTTCTATTTTAGTGAATAAACTTTCTTTCATGATGATGGCAACACCTTCCTTGGCTCTGAACCCAAATGGTACTCCTGAGTAGATAAGCACATGGTCGTACTTATTTAGTCGAACTTCAACGTGCCCTTTTTTCCTTATTTTGGCTATTTCATATACTCTGAATCAGTTGAGCTCTACTATGGATGATTAGCCCAGTAGGAGAGGCCCCGTACCCTCGGGAAAACTGGCTTCCTGAATATTTATGTCCCCTCAGCAGGAAGGGTGGACGGACTATACCCCCCGGCACTGGGTTTTCTCCAATCTGGAGGGCCAGTGACTGATTGCAGTCAGATGACTGGGTGATGGGGTCGCCAAATATATAAATTGTCAATACTTGGAAAACTAAACTGATTAGAAAAAAAATCTAATTAAAAAAAATAGACAACAGAAATCGGAAAATCCTATCTATTTTTATGGAATCTACATGTTCATGTATTATTATATGTACTTACCTTGGTAGATTGATGGGTAAATTGGCATTTATGAATATTTAAACTTGGTGTAGTACTTTGTCGAATTTTTGGTTCCCTACGCATATAAGGAGAATGAAGGATAAGGACAAATCAGGAGCTTGATGAACTGTTGAAGCACGAGGATATTGTACGCTTTATTAAATCTAGAAGAATTAGCTGACTAGAATACGTGGAAAGACTGCCAGATGACAAAGCAACGAAGAAGATACTTAGGGAGGAATTTCCCGGAAAAAGGAAAAGAGGAAGACCTAGGAAATGTTGGAAAAGTGACGTGGAAGAGGATTTAAAGAGAATGGGAGTGGTAAATCGGAGGAGAAGAAAGAAGGATAGAGAGGATTGGAAAAAAGTTGTGAAGGAGGCCAGGATCCACCTCGGACTGTAGAGCCCGTCAGTAAAGTAGTAATAGTTGGGTGCCTTTCGCTACACCATACGGGCTTCTGGCAATTAGATTTCTTTCTTTACATGTATCGTACATAGGAACTTCTGAAAGAGGCTTAAGTTAGTTCAAGAATGGAAGGGACCCGACTATTATAACATGGATAAATATTCTTAGATATCAATTTACTTACCAAAATATATAAGTCGACATGCTAATACATTCGGTTAGGATGGTAAAGATTTCCCGGTTTCTGTAGTAAGGTTTTTTTTTTAAAATTAATTTATTCTTATTATCTATGGCACACATGCATCTTTTTTGTAAACATTTTATAAAAATTGGTAAATTTTTCTTTCTATGAAATTTATCTATCCAAGCAGGAATGACCGAGACCTGGGATCGACATGTATTACTGAATAACAAAACATGGTGAGAAGTTACAAGAGCAATCCAGTTAATGAGGACAGCTTTTTAATTGAAATCCTCCTTGGCGTCCACCCTTTGACGTATCGGCAACAATGAGGGAGGGGGTACAAAAGCGAGGGGCGGTGCGAAATTTTCCACTGATTAGTAAGACGGAGTAATCCGCTCCTTTTGTCTTGAGGATGAAGCCTCAGTTTTTTCAAGGGCTCTCCAAGGGCTCGAGGGCCCTTTTTAACTGGGAGCGGGGGAGAGTGCTCCGGCCGCTGACAAGGAGCCGCCTCGCCCTTTTCCCCAGTTGGTCACATTCCCTTATCTTTAGCAAACAACTAACATCAGAATTAATTCGCGCAAATACAACGCCAGACATGCAGCCCCATTTTTATAACAGTTTACATAAAAAAAAAAAAACTAAGGTGTGTGCTTTAGACCATATGATAGAAGTTAAAACATCAACAACGTAAGATTCATAATATGAAACATAAATTATAAATAATAACTTATTATAAAGAGGATGAAATGCTTAACAATTTCTCGCTTACAGTATGCAAGTCCGATTTTTAGTTTTTGAGATATTTTAATCCATATCTTCCATAAAACTCGTTATAATTTGTTGTAGGACACTTAAGGCTGTTAACATTTCCTTTTCGCTTCCCTAACAAGGCGTCGCCTTAAGATAAAATTTTGAATAATAGCTGATTACCAAGGTCCGGATTTTAATGCAGTTAAAACCACAGAATATGCCATATGATATGCAGTAAAAAAACCCTGAAATATGCAGTAAAAAAAAAAAATGAAAAATGCAGTAACTGGGCTCTACATGTACTAAACTCACAAATTGCTTGATAACTAACGAGACAATAACGTATTTAAATATGATGATGTGCCTACAAAAAGTTTTGAAACAAAAAAAAATTATTTAGAGTCTGAAAATCATAATAATTATGTTTTTTTTTTTTTTTTTAAATATCTAAACTAAAGAAAGAAAATAACTAAACCAATACTGCTAATAAGTATATACATTATAATATTTACGAAAACTGAACATGAATCACATTAAAAAAATTTAAATATCAAATTATATACAAACGAAAAAACAAGAATTGTCTTAAGATAATTAAATAAGCATATTAATAAAATATAACAAATATTGAACAATAAGTATGTAAACGCTTTGAAATTTTGCATGTAAATGGATAAAAATCTAACATGAGTCTTTGTTGAAACAATAAAAC